CTGCCAACCTAGAATTCTACATTTAGCAAAATTATCCTTCAAAACTGAAAGGATCAGATAAGTCACAAACCTATAAAACTTCTAGAGGGTAAAATGATGGAGAAAGTTCAGGCAACCTTAAGTTTGACATTAAATTTAAGGTTTAACAACAAAAGCATGATCCATGAAAGAAAAGAAGTTTGATTTTATTTTTCAAAAACCTTTCTGCTCTGTGCAAAAAGCCATTAAGAGAATGAAAAGACAATCCAGACTGGGTAAAAAATTATTTGCAAAACATCTCTGATAAAGGAACTATATATCCAAAACATACAAACTTTAAATTCAACAAGAAAACTATCCAACCCCAAAAAGAATAAAAGTACTGAAGAGATACCTCACCACAGGAAATAGACAACATAAAGATGCTCAACATCTTAAATGATTGCAAACTAAAACAATGTATCATTATACATGTGTTATGACTAAAATCCAAATATGAAAATACCAAATGCTGGCAAAGATGTAGAAAAACAAGAACTCTCATACATTACTGGTAGAAATGCAAAGAGTACAGCCACATTTCAAACTCGTTGGCAGTTTCTTGCACAGCAAAATGTAATTATATACAATCCATTCAATTCATTTCAACCCAAATTGAACACTTTTACCAACATAAACTTAAATGACAATATTTCTCCATAATTCTCCAAAAAAAGTTTGTATGTCCTTTGTGAATTCACCACTGTTGTAAATCTCTTATTTCCTATTCATGAGATAAGCAAAAGACACAGTATATTCAGCACAACCCAGTAAGTAAAATAGGAAAACTATTTAATATGGCTATGCAACAAAGGAAACTAAGGTTGCAAATGGAATGAGGGTTGCTTGATCAACTGAGCCTAAAATGGAGCTATTCTAGATTATCTACTGGGTCCAAAGTAATCACAGGTTCTAAGCAGAGGTAAAAATAAACAGAAGAAATGAGAAATGACATCAAGAGCCACAGGATCAAAACAAACCAGGATCTTGCGGAGAGTACACCAATGGGCAGAAAAGGCAGACAACTCGGATGTGCCACCAACTGTTTACCCACAAAGGCAAGACCAGAGAGTAAGCAGCAACACTGGCTGGCCGGAGCCTATGGTTGGTGCTTCAGTGGTCTGCGTGCAGCTCGCCAAGGAATGAGCTCTAGTCAAATTTGGGCCCACTACCAGGCAGTCCCTGAGCCAATCTTGTCTTGCAGTGGTAAAAGGAGGCAAGCGCCAAAGCTGTTCCAGTAGGCAGAAATTCTTGGAGAGCAGACCCATGCTGCAGGGAGGGTTCCTCAGCTCACTGTTCCCACACTGTATCTATCTGGTGGCTCCAAGCCCTTCAGTGAGAACTCCACACTTTACAAACCAAATGCCAAACAAATGAAAATAAAAATAGTAGTTCAGTTTGCCCAACTGTTACATGTTAGAATATATGCAGTAGGGATATCAGACTATTAATTTATTCCTGGAGATAATTTGCTTAACAAATCTGAAAAGCTTTATCAACACATTTTGTTACAGCTTTTGTATTGTGTTACATAATACAGCTCCAAATGACAAAATACAAGAGAAATAGCAATATGTCTTTAAAAACCAAAACATTTCACTAACCCCCACCTTCTGATCACCTAAATAATTTCGCATTCTCAAAAATCAGGCCTATAAATGGCTTTTGAGCAAAATATGTATCTGAAAGAGCTGGAGCAGAACAAAAAAGTATGGTCCATCTATAATAGAAAGTAGACAACTGTTTAAAAAAAAAATCAAACATTATCTTCCTTTTGTAGTCTCATGTATTCATCAAAGTGGGTTTTTTTTTTTAATTTCCCAAACCACCATTTATCAAAGAAATATGGAAAACTATAAAGCTATAGGATAAACACTTTAAATAAGAATTCATACTCCAAGGAATTAAGAATCTTTCAACTTTTATTTCTAGGATACATTCATCTGGAACCTTTTTGTTTCTTTACAATTTTCCCCCTAAGAGAAATGAATACAATAAAAATATAATCCAACTACCAGCAATGTTTGTAACCAGAAAAGAATCTAAAATCTCTGGTGTGATAATATAGGATCCTTTTTAAAAATATAAACTTCATACCAGAAATAAAGCCTGAATATTCTCTTTCTTTAAAAATATAATTTCCTTCTTTGCTCTTCCATGTAAATCTTATAATCAACCATTTAGTTGTAAAGTCTATATTTAAATCAGCAATTTATAAGACTATAGCAGGGGTCTTTTCCCTGCTTTATATCCTGTTTTGTATTATGAATCAACTAATAATTTCAGAAGTCTTTAAAAAATGACATACTACTGGGTTTTGTAGCAAGATTCTTCAAGATATACTAATCATAAGAAAAAAAAAAGTAGCAAGCTGAAACCTAAATTATATTTTGTTTATGAAATTAGAAAATGTATACAAAACACTTTTGCACAGTGTAAAGCTCTAATGGAAAACACTTTAAAATCCACTTTGACTAGAAAGGCTACTGACCAGGACAGAATGATGGGATCACAAAGGCTCTGTGAACTCCACTTAAGTTTTTTTCCTGTAACTACTTTGGCGGTCATAAACTATAAAGAGGTTGGAGTATGGGTACAAAGATATCTCACGAAGATTTAATTGCAGTGACATGACTTTTTCTTAACTAATAATCAAGACCAAGGAGTCTAGGAAGAATGTATGCAATGTGTTAATTATTGAAACTGTCCTACCAATTTGGTTTGAAACTGTCTCACTGCTATTTCTTTCTCAATAAAATTATGGAAATGGCTCAGTGGAATAAGCGTTTCCCTGGCAAGCGCAAGGGCCTGAGTTCCATTCCCGGAAAAAAAAAAAAAAAAAAAAAAAAACGACCAAGGAGTATAGGAATAGTTCTCTTTACAGTGCTTTGTACCAAACTGAGAAGTCAGGTCACCTGTCCCACTTCTGATTAGTTCCTCTATGCAGAGCTCTGTTATTAACCCATTTTAAAACAGTACTTCAAAGCCCTATATATATTTATGGGAGTATATCAGTTAGATACCAAAAAAAGCCTATAGAGAACAACATACCTCAACCATAGAGTGCATTCCTCCTACTCCAAATAAACAGCACTATCCATAACATCTTGGGGTATTTGGTGGAACACAGGAAGCTACACAAAGTACTAAAAAGTTTGGTAACAAATACAATGCCAAAGGGGGCTTCCTTCTTGCTTGCTAGAATGTAAAGTAGATGTAAGAAAAGGCTTATTTGCATATCACCTTAACAAAACTAGACAGGCAGGTGAAGACAAATCCAGCAATGAAGGGCTGTAGACTTGGTCATGTATAATTGGACAGGAAAGAAAGTATCTTTAACAATCTAAAGGATGAGTGAACTGACAAGAGAATGGGTCTAGGTCACTGCAGGAAAGGATCTGCTAACAGCTGGGCAAGTCCTGAAGGCTCCTTTTCTCAAAGTTCTAAGCCACCTTCCCTCACTTCTCTGGGAGCAGATGCAGCTTAGCTAACTGGCCTTATCTTTCTTTTTTGGATATCTGATGCACTTACCCTTTCCTTTACTGCCCTTTTCCCCCAAGAGAATATTCAGGCCAATTTTGCTTTTTTTCCTTGCTTTTGTATTATTAAGAACTGTAAATTAGCAATTTGGGATATCCCTAACTCTTACTGGGTGTGTTATGTTAAGTACGAGATACCCCAACTGGTAAGAATGTGAAACTTAAATGCCATTTACAAAAGAGTCAAATCCATCTCACACTTCGATGAATCCAAAGTATAAAAACTTAGCAATGATATGTAAAAAACTATTTTTTGCCATGGCTTAAGTATTGGACTGCAAACCAATTTCAATATTCCAAGTCATCAAAGGTCATTTATATTGAGTTAACATGTCTATGTTTTCTACATACAACAAAATAAGATTTGTTTAGATATACATATATTTTAAACCAATTTACTTCCTTTTACAATCATACTTTTAGTCTAACATTTAAAATATGAATTTTATCAATGAAAACAACAGTGGACCAAATGACAGTATAATTTAAATGAAACAATAAGGCAAGAAAAAGTCAGCATTAAAACTCAGAAAGTAACATAAATAGATTCACTGGAAATCATCACATATGCCTAATGTGTTTAAAAGTGAACCTCACATGAAACAGTCCCCCACTCCCATGACACTGGACAACTCATACCTTTCTCATTTCATCATCTGCAAACTGAACCTTCATTATTTTCCTGAGGTTCATGCAGTAACAAAATATCCTAACAGGAAAAACTAACAGTAAATAATACATAGCCTATTCCAGAATTTGTATGTGGTCCCACCAACTGTTTTGTGTGATCCCTATATTATAAAGTAATTCAATCTTTTAGGAGCAAAGGAGCCAGGGGCTTAGATTGATTCATATACATTGTGCATTAAATATTACTAGATTAAGAAAGTGGGAAAGAAATGGAAAGATACAGTAAATTTTCTCTAAACAATTCTATTATATTAGTACTGTTAATGACATTATTTAACCAGGTTATGAATGATTGAAGAATTATCAGAATTTGCATTTTCTTGAAGAAGCTAACAATAAACATTAAACATATATATTTGTACATTTACTTGAAGAATCTTTGGTAACAACTGTGTTTCTTCCACATTGTTGGATTTTTTAAAATAAATGTCAAAATTATCTTATTACTCAGCATACGAAAGATAAAATTACTATTCTTTTGGTTTTTCTATAAAATGTCCTTGAACCTGACTATTAACTTGCACTGTCTCAGCACTTAAACACAGCATCTTAACTTGTGAACATACAAAATGAGAGACTAATACCAAAAAGGAATTGGACAATAATGAGAATCAATGACAAAACATAACAATGACAACTGTTCTTAAGTAATTTATTTTTAAATTATAGGATTTACAATGTCTTGATTATTTAAAATATCATAATGGAAATTAAACCAAATCAATAAACCAAAAGATAAAGAAAATTTACTTATTTTTGAACATCAGTACTTAAACCATCTTTATAAAGGATCTGATGTCCCAACCACAACTTAAGTATAAAGTATGCTAGTTTCAAACATTTCGCTTGCAGGTTTAATTTCTCATTTTCAACTTTTATGAACTGTAATTTATTTCAAATCCTATTATACCTAGTGTTTATACTGCAACAGCAGCAAATCCCATGTGTTCAATCGAATGTGCAACTGGGGCATAGCTTTTAGCTTTTAGCCACAGATAGAAATTATACACTGCATTCAGTATAGTAAAGTATACTATATTAACCAGGGCGCAGAGTTTAGTACACTTATTGCAGAGTTGGTACTTCTTTCCCTCTGAACTGAACCCGCCGAACTTCTGAGCAGACATATTACTGCTGTGGATAATATGACTGCTGTGGGGGCTGAGGGAAGGGGTATGAAGGCTGCTGGGGTCCTGGGTATGGAGCTTGCCCAGGGCTCTGGTGATACACTGGTGGGTATGGCATATTATACTGGCCGTAGGCATAAGGATTATAGCCCATGGGCATGGGCATTTGACAATACCTAATGGGAAGAAAACAAAACAAAACAAAAAAACATGGGATTGGTAAATCAAATACAAGAAAACAAAATATACAATAAGTATTCTAAAGCAATTTTTTTAAAGAAAGTCATTTTTCTCTTTTTAGTCTATTAAAGAACATTTAAAAAGTTTCAAAGTATTTGTCACAGAAAAGCAGTTCCATCTTATAATTAAAGTGAAAGAATATATGTTTAATATTAGCTAGAAAATAACACTGAAGGAAATAAGATTAAATATTCAACAATTAAATAGAGATCTTTCATTTTAATGTGACAAAACTAATAACCTGAATACATTCCTATTCCACAAGACACAGTATTTACCATACCATATTTACTGTTTATAAAGCTCTAATATTTGGAAGATAAACTTACTAAATAAAATTTAAAGCACATCTTTTTTTAAAAAAGTAGGCAAGTGCCTAGATTTTTAAGACTAAGAAATTACAAAAAGGAAGGCTTGCTGTGGGTCTAGCTTAGGGTAAAGCATTTGCCTAGCATATGAAAGGCCCTGGCAACACCAAGGGGGTTTAAAAAAAAAAAAAAAAAAAGAAAAAGAAATTGCCACAGAGAATGCTAACCTTTAAGTAAGCAAGCATACTCCATAGCTAAACACCTTTCTATTCAATCATTTATTAAATGTCAACATTTCAAAATATAGGTATATAAACAAGGCCTTGTTGTACTAAACTCAGAAAATGTTCCTGTTTACCATCTAATACAGGTGGCCACAAGGAAACATTCTGAATTCTACACAGAATATGTTTAGTATCAATGCAACAAGAAAAAAATATATATATAAATTTCAATAGTCTAGCACAGGCAAAGACTTACTGAATAGAACTCCACAGCACAGAAAATAATACCAAGAATCAACAAGTGAGACTATAATAAATTTTAAAAGCTTCTGCACAGCAAAAGAAACAGTGAATAAACAGCCTATAGAATAGGAGAAAATTTTTGCTAGCTATTCTTCTGATAGAGTAGTATTCTCCACACTATGTAAAGAACTCAAAAAATATTAACCCCCATAGAACATATAATCAAATCCAAAAGAAAAAGGGAAGGGGCACATGAACTGAATAGACATCCCTCAAAAAAAAAAAAAAGTCTGCAAGTAGTCAATAAGTACATGAAAAAAAATGTACAATATCTTTAGCCATTAGGGAAATATAAATTAAAACTAATTTGGTATTTCCTCTAATCTCAGTCAGAATGGCTATTATCAATGACACAATAAAACAATGAATGCTAGCATGAATGCAGGAGAGTAAAGGGAGGTAGAACCCTCTTACATTATTGGTGGGAATAGAAGCTTGTGTAAGTAGTATAGAAATCAGTATGTAGATTCTTTGAAAGCTAAAAACAAATTCCATTTGATCCATCTACCCCTCACCTGGATATAATCCTAAAAGAATTAAAAACAGCACACTATAGTGATACCTGCATACCCCTGTTTATAGCAGTGTAATTCGTAATACCTAAGGTATGGATGCCTGTCAACAGATAAATGAATAAAGAAAATGTGATTTTTTAGCTTTTGAAGAATCTATATGCTGATTTCTATAGTACTTAGCAAGTACATACACAAATTGAAACATCCAGCCACAAATAAGAATGAAATGTCATTTGCTGGAAAATGGATGCAACTGGAGACCATTACATTAAACAAAATAAGCCAAACTCAGAGATAAACATTGCATGTTAAGTAAACAAATAAGTACAGGAGAAATAATAGGAAACTAGAAGATAAGAGTTCTGGGGAAGGGGGAACCTGGGAGAAGTAAAAGAGGAGGTAATAGAGTTGAAAATCAAGATATAGTAAATGAATATATCAAGTCCCCAAAAGAAACCTCATAATCTGTATTAACTGGATGTTCTAATAACCAAAACAGAATTTCAATAGCCGATGAAGACAACAACTCAAAGAGCTACAACATTATTTTAATTTCTGTGTAAGATGACAATGACACGTGAATATTCATGATACTTCCACTTAGAGAAGGGGTACTCCTGACTTTAAAATGTTATCCAAAACTAGAAAAGTCTATTGTTAGACTACTCAATGTTGCATCCTTACCCGGGATATCCTGGATAGGTGGGGTAGGGTGGTCCTTGGGCCTGTGGAAGTGGGGCTGAGCCAGGGGTTTGTGATGGAACTGGTGGAGCTGGTGTTGCATTCCCAGCTGCCACTGGAGCTGAAGCAGTTGCAGAAGGAGCTCGATTTGCTGGAAGCACAGGAGGTGGAGGCCGGGCTGGGGGTTGAGGCTTAGAAGGCTGTAAGGAAAGGTAAGCACTGACAACATATTTCATGGGTCTCTTAAGCTGCTATTCATCCAAATGAATAAATAAGGACATGAGAAATTCTAGTATCCAACAGAAATTTAATTACTCTAGAAATAATTATTCTACTGGAAGAATAATTCAATTTATAAAAATTGGATTAAACTCATAGTCTTTACACTGAGCTACATCTCAGCCACTTTTTGAGATACAGTCTCTCTACCCAGGCTGATGCCTAATAATTTATTGCCTCCAACAATGGTTAAATTTTAAAGTAAAAGATAATTTTTGACTATAAATTTCTTCTTAGTCCCCAAACTCTTCACAAAAATTTTCAAAAACCTGGAAACTTTTTTTTTGTTTGTTTTTGTATTTTAGTACAGGGTCTACAGGGTCTCACTATACAGATCAGACTCATAGTGATCCTCCTGTTTTCAGCCTCCCAAGTGCTGGGATTACAGGCGCACACCACCACGCCCAGTCTCAGTCAAGGTCTCAGCACACCCTGTGGGCAGGCCAGCACAGCATGATGGGGCTCAAACCCCCGTCGCTGCACCTGCCTAAGCAGGCACTTTAGTCTGCTGAGCTATCTGGTCAGCCCAGGAAATTTTTTTTTTTTTTTTCAGAACCAGGGATTGAACTCAGGCCCTTCCACTTGCCAGGGAAGCGCTTACTCCACTGAGCCATCCCCGTGGCCCAGGAAACTTTTTTTAAAAAGCATAATAAAATTAAAAAAAAAAAAAAAAATCATACATCAACCAATGAAATTTAATAACTAAACCTTTACCCTTACTGTTTCATCATAGCTATATCCCTATGTTATAAATTTAGAGGCCTTTTGAAAGTGTGTTAAAACTTCAAGATCTAGTCCCACAGCCCTCGGCATTCAAATCCTAATAAAGATATTTTCCTACATAATCACAATAGTATTTCACCCTCAGAATATTAATTATTATTCAGTATTATCAAATATCCACTTTGGATCCATATTTCCATGTTTACCACCAAAAAGTTACAAAAGCTGTTTTTAATGAACCAAAATAAAAATTTACACTCTGCAATTTATAATGACTTTTTCAGTTGTTTTATTCTAGAATATGCCTTCCTTTTTCTTTCTTCCTATTTCAGAAAAGACCAACCTAGGCATCCCGTATAATGTCCCATTTTTTAGATATGTCCAAATGTTTCTTTATGAAACTATTTAACTTATTTAAATATCACTGTATTTGATAGATTTGATAGATTTGATTAGACTAAACTTAAAGGGTTTTTTTGTTAAGAACTTAAGAGTGGTGTTGTGTTCTACATACTGCAAACCATCTGAAGATTAACCACCTGATGTGGGTGCTGAGCACTAGATTGTTCCAATGTAGAGCCTGTTTTATCCTTTAGAAGTGTCAAGGTATCTATGACAAATGTTAAACTTCCATTTTAAAAGTCTACTGGGCTTACTAACCGGCATGGTTCTTGGAGCTGGAGTTGGAGGGGCCGGTGCATGTCCTCCTGCTGGAGTGGACTGATACGCAGGTGTAGGAATTGAAGGAGCACTAGGTTCTCTGGCAATGCTTTGCTGTAAGTCCCTTTTTAAAGACAGGGTGTCAGAATTTACAAAATGGAAAAATAAAATACATATAAAACGTTTTATTCCTATTTCTTTTCTTTATATACAGAAAAGAAAATGTCCCCCATACAATATGGTATTTTAGAATACCAGACATTTTTATTTTTCACTAAAACATCAATCTTTCTTCTTCCTACTTTGTAACAAAATGAAGTTACATTTTACTCTATTTCTGTTAATTAGGAAAGAAAGTAAATTTTTTCAGAGAATATGGTCATGCTTGAGAAAGGAACATGTTAAAACAAGCAAGTAGTCCGTAAGACTGCACAAACTAGTAAGACCTGGTTAGGAAATGAAAAAACTACTAACATAATCTATGCAGAAATTATCAGAATACTACAACCATTCATAATCATGTGGCAAATGTTTTAATCAGTGTATGATATCAATGTTTACAAGGTAACCAATGCAATTATTCTGTGAACTCTCAAGTAAACAATATCTGTAGATATTCAAAGAAATGTGACACCAGATATAGTATTTAATTTTTTGGTAGTATTAGGAATTAAACCCACAGTCTTTGCACTGGGATACATCCTAGCCTTTCTTTTTCTTTTCTTTTTTTTCTTTTTTTTTTTTGAGATGCAATCTCTCCAAATTGCATAAACTGAGCTCAAATTTGTGATACTCAGGCTCTCATAGTGCTTGGATTATAGGTGCACACCACCATACCTGGTTAGAAAATGTGACTCTGAGATATTATATGTTTAAAGATAACTAATAATCTATTACCAAAGTTTAACTCACAAAAAATATTCTTTGTTAAAAAATCCATTATAACCTAACATTTAATATCAGATGAAAATTTTACACTTTGACAGTAAATGGGAATTATCTCAAAAAATCTCAATAAATAATATGAAAAGCAAAATGCACTCTAGTAATACAGGATACTGATCAACCTCTCATCACATTAACATAAATAGAAAGTAAATATATGTCCAAAGAGATCTGCAACAGTACTTGTCACCCTGATTTAACAACAGCCAACCTTTAAAACTACTGTATAAACTTGCACTCTCAAAAAAGCCACAGTTGGGGCTGGTAAGATGGCTCAGTGGTCTAAAGCACCTACGTAGAACAAGCTTAGCAAAGCACAAGGGACCGTGGTTCAATTCCCCAGCCCCACATGCCAGCCAGCCCCGCCCCCTGGTGGGCTGAGCTGGACACACACACACACACACACACACACACACACGTGCAAATAAATAAAATTTTTTAAAAAAAGCCACAGTCACCCTACATGACAAGAAAAAATATAATACACATATAGTAACTACTTATAAGATAAACTACAAGTTTTTACTCAACATTAACACTCCAAAAGGTCCTATTTTGAAATATGTAAGAAAAACATGTGTATTACGAAGCCTTAATACAAGATCTTCAAAGGATGGCTATAGTAAATGCAACACTTACAGGACAAATAATAATTTCCTAACCACTTGCAAAGGATATAAATCAAAGCTATTAAAACAAAATAAATGCCATCAGTATTTCTATGTCCAACAATCATGACTACTGACATAAGTATTTCAATCATTTATAAAATCAAAGTTCACAGTAAAACATTCTTTTTTACACTCTTAAGTTTGTGGTAAAAGGTTTGATGAAAACAGAAATTAAAAATCAAGTCTTCTAGCTGATAAGTATATCAAAAGGACAAACATATCAGTATCCAGGGAAATGAAAATTAAAACCACAAAAAAAGAAGAAAAAAAAAACAGGCCGGGGAGATGGCTGAGTGGAATAAGCACTTCTCTGGCAAGCACAAGGGCCTGAGTTCAATTCCCGGTTCCACAAAAAAAAATTAAAACCACAGTGTATTATTTGCATACCCACTAGAGTAACAGCAAATATGTAATCAAAACTCTCATCTATTGCTAACAGGTATATAAGTTAATACAACCACTTTATAAAACTGGCATTCAACTAAAGGCAAATATATGTTATGCCCCGATAATTCCATGCCTAAGCATGGTACCTGAAATATCTGAAATGGAGCTAATCTGAATTGAAGATGTGCTGTAAATGTAAAATACACACTTATTTTACATTTATTTTATATTTTGAATTTTGCTTAGTTGGGGAGGTGATTAAATATTGTTTATAAGTTTTCATTAATTATAGGTTAAATTACAGTATTTTGGATATATTTAAATTATGAAAATTAATTTCACCTGTTTAACTTTTTTGCTGTGTCCACTAGGAAATTTTACACTTTCAATTGTACTGTCACTCCCTAGTATATCACCATATACAGACATAGCCTACTGAACCAGCTCTGAATATTTATTTCTATTCTTTTACTGCTACCAGGGATCTTCAACAACTACATTTAACATTTACGCCAGCAATATTTATAACCCAAAACTAAAAACTAAGAGTAACATCATATATTCACATAATAAAATATACTCACAAATGAAAATAAAAGATCTATAAACACTAAAGTTAAACAAATGAAACAAGTATACACTTGATCTTAGCCAAAAGGCCAAGAAGCAATGGATGAATCAAATATAATGTTAAGTAAAATTCAATCTCCAAAAAGTATGTAATATATGGTTCTCTTTATACATCAAGCAAAAAAAAAAGTAATCTGTGCTCTTCTAAGTTGAAATGCTGGTTGGTTCTCCTAGGGGACAGGAAGATAACTGGGGAGATGTATGAGTGATGTTTCTGGGGTGCTAGGAATCTTCTATGTGCTGATCTAAGTGCCAACTGCCTACATGTAGTCAGTCTATTCTTAGGTATATTTTTTAATGTATATCATAGTCAATAAAAATGTTCTAAAGAATTTAAGTTGTATTAACAGTGATTTTAAATAAACTCTCAGATTTTAAGAACTAATACTAGTACATGGCTTTTTATCATTCATTCACTTTTTAGTCAGTGAGCTGAATATACTGACAGGGTTGTCTCAGAATTGATATTGATATATATATTCTGAAATATATGTGTGGATATTAAACCTAGCTTTCAAACAAGTTTGAAATATGAGATATGCAAATAAGAATATTAAAACATTTTCTTCAAAAGAAAATACAAAGCTTCTTTGTGTATAAACAAACCAGGGATGGCAAGATAAGTGCCTGCTTAGGCCAGCACAGGAACCAGGGTTTGATCCCCAGCACCACATGCCCTTACAGCCCCACCCCTGGGTGCACTGAGCTGGTCACCAAGACCCAGCTGGTGGCACACACCTATAATCCCAGCCCTGGGGATGCTGAAAACAGGAGGATCACTATGAGTCTGAGCTGTGTAATGAGGACCTTGTGCCAAATACATAAAAAAAATAAATAAAAAACTGTATAAACAAACCAATCTCAGTATTATTACTTTCTCCCATTCTCCACAAAAAGCATACTCTATATGCCCCATTCTATCTTTTTTTACCCCACTGACCTTAGAGATCCTTCCATATCAGTAAATGAAAATGTCTTTGATAAAACAAGTATATTACATAGTTTTCCACTGTATACTAATAGCTTTATTCTATTAGCCCTCGGACATGTAGTTTCCTCTATTTCAATAAGTAATGCAGGAATAAGTTCATAAATATGTCATTCTTAGCACATGCTAATATATCCTCAGAAAAGATTCCCAAAAAACAGAATACCTACATCAAAAGATGTTTTAATTTGTAATCTTAAACTTTATAGCTAAATTGCCCTATACAAGGGTTGCCAACATTCTAGATCTTATGGCAATGCATAAGATCTATTTCCACAGCATGTGACAACAAAGTGCATTATCAAACTTCCAGACTTTTACACTCTGAAAAATGTTCTTTCAGAGTAATTTGTATTTGATAGAGAATGAGTGTTCTTTAAATATGTTTACCAATATACAATATATTAACCATTGTTAGTTTCCTATTATCTTGTTTTGAAATTTTGTACAATTGCTTTTATTTGTTTTTTCTTTATTGTTTTGTCCTTTTTCTTTTCAGGACAGTTTCAATAATTAACACATTGCACACATTCTTCCTAGTGTTTAACTGCTGTGCAAGATGCAGACATGATATCCTATTTACAAACACTACTAGAACAAATCCCTCTATTCATTAAGAGAATGTAACTATATATCTATCCTAACCACTTTGAATACACAGATACAAAATGGACATTCATCTGTATACCCTTTTTTTGTTAAGTTCCGTTATTTGAATATTATAGGTGTGTTAACTCAGCAAAATATTCTGAAAGAGTCCAGTAGTCCATAATAGTATTGGGTCTTCCACTTCACTGGCAGTGTCAGAAATTGTTGACCTGAGTCCCCTACTGTTTTGTCTTAAAAATATACACACACATATGTATATATGTGTGTGCATATATATGTACATATATTTTTTTCTTTTTTTTTTTTTTAAAAGAGATACTTGCCTGCAAAATTTATCTCATATCCCTTTCTTTCAGCTTTCTACTAGATTTGTTTTGTGGTGCAAAATGAAAAAATGAACCCACGGCCTTTGCTATGTCCCCCCAGCCCTTGTTTTTCTTTTAATTCAGAAACAGGGCCTCACTAATTACTAAGCTAACCATACTGCATTTGAACTTGCAAATCTCCTGCCTCAGCCTCCCATAGTGCTGGGATTACAGGAATGTACCACCACACCCAGCATTCCCAATAATTTCTAAATTCTTTTTTAAAACAGTTAATTAGTCTTTACCATCATTAAGTTTCAAATATTATTTCACTTTTTTACTGTATCTTGTCTGTGGTTATAATGTTGCACAGTAGTTGTTTTAACTCATGGTGAAATATCTGCTCAGAATGTTCATATGTTTTCCAGTAATATTTTGGTAGATATTCTTCACCTATTAAGTTTTATTAATTTTGTTATTTTTTTCACTTGCATAAATACAGTACCTTCCATATCAACACTGGTCAACTCCAGTAATTAGTCAACAGGAAATAAATTCTACGTTACTGGCCCCACTTTCTCAAGAGGATCCTTCAGAAAGGAATTTTACTGACATAACCTGAGCTGCTCCCCTGTCTTTTCTAAGTTTTACATTTTTTCTTTTATGTAAAGTATCTTACTTGACATTTCAAAGCAAACTGCTACTACTTGCTGGCACCTCCTGAGTTCTGCCACCCAGAACTGTCTTATTCTGTGACTTCATTATATTTAGAGTATCTGCTCCTTCTCAACCTTTTATTCCCAGATCCTGCAGCTGTTCACTACTTTGTAAAATATTCCAGTGAAAAGAAGGAAAACTGTTATCTCACATTACCAAATTTACTCTCAAAGTCTCTAAGTAAAATATGATAGATACACAAAGCAAACTTACTTTAAGAGTTCATCTCTTTCTGTTTTCCGTGCAAACACTATATCACTGCATTTGTTCTGGAACCTGACCAATATTTCAGTCAGCTCATTATAAAACTGTAAGCAAAATACAAATGCAAGTAATAAATAAAAAAAGTTTTTAGCATAGACAGCAACATCATCTAAAGTTAATTTGGTAATGATACTTAAATCTAAAAAACAGAACTCTTGTTTATGAAACGTATTCATATCACATATTAAATCCAGTTAACTTAAAATTAAATTTCACCTAAGCTTTGTAAAATATGTATACACATATATATCATTTTTACAGAATACTGTCACCAAAAATTAAATGTCATGATCATGAGCATGTTTCCAATTCCTACAGTAAAGTCAACTTATTGCTAAATATTGTCACTAGATCTAAGACAAAGGATTATATTTGTACATTTACTACTGGCATCATTTCAGTTAAAAGAATTTCAAAGGATTTCTGGAGTTTTCTTAGCTCATCTATTATAACAGAGGATTTAATCCAAACTGAAATGGCATTTTAGTATCCACTGTCCTCTCCACTTGGAAGGCTCTGTAGTGTTTTCATCCTCTCTTCAGGAGATTTTACATTATACCTACTATATGACATCACTTTAGTTAGTGATCAGTATGGAATTAAGTGCCAAAAGAAACTGCATCTGAAAAGTTTAAAGTTCACTTGCTTCCTCAAAAGCCAGTGGGAAAACAAAAAGAAACATCTTAATGGACAAGGCAAGAAGCATTCTTAAGATACTTTTACTAGCACTCTTCTACGCAAGCAGACCACAAGTCAATGTTCACCAAACTACCAGCACAGAACAAAAGCTACATCCACCACAGATCAGCCTTTACTACTACTTTACCCTCATAGTTCACTCAAACTTGCCAACTTCTAAACCCTTAAAGTGGTGTGGATGACTTCTAATATCCCTGTATTAATATCTACTACCATGAATATTCATATCCCTTTTCTGCTAGCTGAACTACATAATTCATTCTTCAAAGTTCCAAGAAAATATTGCTGCATTTATTTTGCTTACTAAACCACACTGGACCAAAAGACTTTACAGCTAACAAATTCAAAGCAAGGAATAATTTGGTCTAACGAGAAATACCAATTAAATTCCCAATCTATACTTTTACACTCATATTTGTTTGACTTGTTTCTTTGGTTTATATATCATACCTTTGTGCCCTCTTTCAAATTAGCTACAAGTTCAACGAAGTTGTCATATGCAGTAGCTAAATTCTTCAAAACTTCTTCTCTTAAATTAGCTTCATTGTTAGATTGTTTCATTTTTGAAAATTCCTGGTGTGAGACCTTGTTAAGAGATATACATATACATAATTTATATTCACTTATAAAACTAATATAACCTATAACATTTTTATTGAGAACCTTTCCAACTGAGAATTATATTCAGGATTACTAGAAATATCTAATATCTCTTGAAGTTGTACAATGCTTTATATGTTATGTAAAGATATCACAAATCCAACAGCTGTCAAAACAACCAATAATGACAACTTTCTGTTTATATAAAGTACAAATAACCTATGATGAAAACTCTTCTTTAGCAGAACTTATATTACATAAAAATACAATATTCAAAAGTAAACACAAAGCTGGATTTTTACACATTAACTATTAAATGGGCAAAGTCTCACATCTTGTAAGTAGGCACTAACTTCTAATCAAATACTAATTTCAAACACCTGAATATATTGTTTTGTGTAACTTCATTAAAGTCCATTATATATATATGGACTTCATTAAAGTTCATTTTATACATATATATATATATATATATATATATATATTATATATATTTTTTTGAAAGGAAACATGTCTTTTTTTTCATAATTTTATTGAGAAACAAATGGCAATGAGACAGTTTCAAATCAAATTGGTAGGACAGTTTCAATAACACATTGAAAGTCCATTATATATTAAGACATATAATTAATTACAAGAACCAAGAATTCCAACTAACTGTGAATCATCTTTAAATACCTTTTAAATCTTTAAAAAATTTTTAAAAGCCCAAAATATCTGAAGCATTAAGCACTTCCAAGTAGCATGAAACATTTGTCACAGAAGAGTAGCTTTGTTCCATACTGTTTTTATACCTGTGTGTGACAAGTTAAATTTTATAAAAGAGATACATTATTATTCTATTATAAACTACATAAACACTAATGGACATAAATTTCACACAGGCATATCCTTCCTGTAATTTTTAATATGTCATAGTAGTATCTAAGTTTCACCTGAATATTTTTTAGAAGTTCCTCCTGTTTCTTTAAAGATTCTTGGACTTTAGTTGTAAGACTTCCATAGATTCGATCCAGCTCAGTGACAGAAAGAGCTTCTTCATTAATCACACCATCTTGAGCCAAAGCTGTCAAAAACTTGCTCGTCATATCAAAATTCACTGACTTGAGGTCATTCTCAAGATTCTCTCTTTCCTTCTTTACTGCATCAAGATTCGTCAGTAAGGATTTTAAGACATTCACAACCTAAATAATAAAAAAGGCACTTTAATTGACAAGAAAAAGTTAATTTCAAGAAGAAAGTGATATATGAAAGTTAACTCAAGCTCAGACAAAGATGATTCCTCAGACAGTCATGCATAAAATTATAGAATAGGTTTATTTATAGATATTGGTACCTTTAGTTGACCAAGTATTATCATAGTAGCAACAGTTAACACTATCGACAGGTATAATTTGCCTTATTCTTTGTGTTGTGTGCTACAGAGTTCACAAATATAATTCAAAGTATTCTACAATGTCCTGAAGGGTATGTCTATCACCTCTATTCTAAAGATGGAACTACTGAGTCTAGGAAAAATTAAATCACGTAGTTACATAGCTAGTAGGGGATAGAGGGAAAATTTGATGCCTAAGTATGCCTAACTCCAAAACCAATCTCTTACTTGGCCAAAAAAAAAAAAAAAAATTATACCTTATTTTGCATAGCATGAGAGAGAGATTTATATACACAAACACGAAGACACAAATAGATTTGACAAGAGTATGCTAAATGGAGAAACTGAAAGGGAACCACCAAGTGCTACTGTGGACAATGTGTATGTGCTGAAAGGGAAAACGATGGTTACTGCACATATCTTCATACCATTAAGAGTCTTACCTTTTATATTCAGGTAATCTTTGACTTATAGTCACAAGATTCATAAATATTCCTAGTGTTCAAGGGCCCACTAATGCCTTTAAAGCTGCCCCCTTCACTCACATCTCTCCGCATCTTGCTAGGGCTACAAGAGAGAACACCAACCCAAGCCCCCAACCTGCTTGCCCTAGTGATGTTCATCAACAAGCTGGGGCGGGGCCGGGGAGATGGCTCAGTAGAATAAGTGCTTCCCTGCAAGTGCAAGAGCCTGAGTTCAATCCCCAGTTCCGCAAAAAAAAAAAAAAAAAAAAAAAAAAAAACAAGCTGGGGAAAGGAAAATGTAGACAAAGAAGCCCACCTGTATTTCTTCTCATCAGCAGTAATTCCAGCTCTAATAGCTCTCCCAACCAACCACCCTCTTTCTGAGAATTGCTGTCCTACTCTTCCTTCCATAGTCTTACTTAACTCCTTGACAGTAATATCCAGAGCAACATTATTTCATTAAGAATTAAGACCTAAGAAAAGTCTATGGCTGTTTCTTCCAAATTCAGGTAAACTCCTTTTTGGGCCTCTCTTTATACCCAGATCTCTTCAGTGTCCTAATCTTAATAAAATACAAAGGTAAGTTGAATTTCTAATGAGAGAAGAGGTACAAAAAGCATATATACATAATACACTACATTTTGAGTGAGAGAGGAGGAAAAACTAGAATATTAAAATACACAAGCCAGGCATAGTGGTGTACATATGTAATTCCAGCACTCAGGAGGCTGAGACAGGAGGATAGCCATAAATTCAAGGCCAGACTAGGGCACATGGGGAGTTTAAGTGTACCCTGAACTATACAATGAGACCCTATTTCAAAATGCCAAATAAATAAAAATATACACATAAGATATGTACTGTAGTTTGTAAATAGGATCACAAGTCTGCATCTTGTACAGCAATTAACCACTAAGAAGAATATATGCAGTGTATTATTTGTTGAAACTGTACTTCCGATTTGATTTGAAACTGTCTCATTGCTATCTGTTTATCAATAAAACTTTGAAAAAATAAAAAAAATTTAAAAAAAGATATGTACTGTATATCTATATGGATATATCTTTTTTTGCAAAAAGAAAAGCAGTAAGGAGAAACCTGATACAAATGTGGATACCTCTGATGACTATATGGAAACAAAGCAGAAGGGAAAAGGAATGAGACTCTTCTGTATGTACTTTTAAATCATGAATGTTTTTAAAGATATACAAGGACTGGGGAGATAGCCCAGTAGAATAAGCGCTTGCCTGGCAAGCACAAGGTCCTGAGTTCAATCCCCAGTACTGCAAAAAATAAAAAAATAAAATAAAGATATTCAAAACACAAAACCAAATAAAAATTTGAATATAGAAACAAATAAGCCTAACTATCAAAGTGAAGCATAACTATGTAGAAAAAAATTTCAATTCTGACTATACTCCCTTAGGTGGAATAGACTTAGTTACCATTTAACCAAAAACAGCTTACTTTCTGGAAAACTCAGGGTTTTTTTACCTGCAAAATGAGAACAATACCTATTTCAAGACTACCTGAAGACTGAGATAATCTATAAAAATTCCTCAGCAATGCTAAACTAGGCCAAGTAACCATATTTGCCATTATTTATTATGTGTTAGAAGAGTTATACTCAACTTTTTATGAGTATATTATGGACTAAAGAGGCTTAGGCATCTAACACATTCAGACAGGGAAAAAATTTCAAGAAGAAAAGAATTAAAATATCCTTTATTTTACTGAATTATTGCTATAATTATGTGACATACTTTTTATTAGGAAAGAAACTATAGGATTTGTCAATTTAAAATATTCTTAATAGTATTATCTGTTGGCATATCTAAACTAGCAACTCAAGGGCCAGCCAAATAGCTCAGAGGATTAAAGCACCTGCAAGGAGGCACAGGAGCTGGGGGTTCGATCCCCCGGCCTGCTGTGCCAGCCCCACCCCCAGGCCACACTGAGACAGCAATTGAGACTGGGCATGGTGGAGCTCACCGATAATCTCAGCTCTTGGGAAGCTGTAAACAGGTAGATCACTATGAGTCCCATCTAGTAATGAAACCCTGAACACCCTGTAGACTCTTCCCTAAAATACAAAAAAATAATAATAATAATAAATAAATGAACTAATAACCATGACTTTCACTGTGTGAAGGCTGTTTGGCTAAGGGAAAAATTTTTTAAAAATAAAAAAAAGAAGAAAAAGGAAAGTAAAGTTGTATCTCTCCATAAGTTATATCTAAAGCAATTAAAAAGAAAAATGCCAGCTAATTAAAATAAGAGGAGAAAAATATGCAGAGGAAACAGTCTAGTGAACAAAGTTAAGGCTGAAATACTATCTTGAAAGAGACTAAATACATCTTAAGTAGTTTAGAAACTAAGATCCTCTCACCAAGTAATGGGGTAAAGTTGTGTGACTAAAAGTTACCTAATAAGTGACATGAGAAGACAAAATGGTTCACACAGACACAACTTCCACAGAGATGGAGAAAGAGATCCCCTAAGGATTTGAAGAATTCTAACACTAGCTCTATTTAAGGAAAAAAGCTAACCTGACTTTTATGGTACACAGATTACTAGCCAGAGAAATAAGGGGAAAAAATGAAACTATTATTCAATATTTCAAAATACTATGATTCTGTCTGAAAAACAATGCCATGTCAAATAGCTAATTTATAAATGAATTTTTAGACTGCTACAAAAAGATTAAAAGATTCACTGATTCCAAAATCATATTTATTTATGATGGTCATATACAGTAGTTTCACTGCATCTAACACTACATGACACTGAACTAACTTTAATAGTGAATGATGTAAAAAAATAAGCTGCTTCCACAATGAAGAACAAGCTAATTTAAAAAACTATCTAATTTTTTTATCAATTCAAGTTAAACGTTTAACATGTCGTCAAAACTAAAAACCTGTAGTATTTCTATTTGTTTTATACACAGCTCCAATTAGCTTTTAACTACAATAATTGCATCACTTTATTAAATACGGCTCGCAGTAGTTATAAATCAACATATTTATTTTTGAGTTATACATGTTCTTCTCAAGAAGTTACAAACTACTAATAAAAACAGAGTATTCCTTCACTTAAGGGACAAAAACAGAACACTAAAATAAACATACAACAAGAGTTACTTGATGAATACGGATGAAGATGAAAATGTGAAGGCACTAGTCTTAAGGTGTTTTTTTTTTTTTTTTTTTCTCCAAATGCCCTCATGGCTGGTTTGGCACGTTTGGCTGGTTTGACTGGCTGGAGAGTTGTGGGGATCGAACTACAGCAACCTGAGGCTGACAGCTTTGTGGAAGCAGCCACTTAAACAACTGAGCTAAGGCCAGGCCCCAAAGGCACTAGTCTTAAAAGAGACAGTGGCCACTGAAAGAGAAGAAAGCTCTAAAAAACTAGATGCTCAAAAAAATTAAAAATAGACGCTGTAGGCATCTTCACAATAAAAGTAAAAACAGCCTAATTATCACTTGAGATGTCTTCATAAAATGTGTGGTGTATTACTTTTTTAATTCAATAATCAAGTCAAATAACTGAGTTTTTAACTTTTTCTTTTTTTTTTTTTTTTTTTTTTTGGCAGAACCAGGGATTGAACTCAGGCCCTTGCACTGACTGAATTTTCAATCATTAACATTCTGCTACTAAAACAACAGTCAAAAGTAGCTTTCATATGGGGCTGGAGAGATGGCTCAGTGGTCTAAAGCACGTGGTTAGAACAAGCTTAGCAAAGCACAGAGACCGCGGTTCAATCCCCCAGCACCACATGCCAGCCAGCCCCGCCCCCTGGTGGGCTGAGCTGGCCACACACACACAC